AACGTAAGAGAAGGACTGAGAACAACTTGTTTGATGGGGCACTTGAAACTGAATTTTCTGTGGACCAGTTCAGAGTCTCCTGACAACGTTGTTTATTTCGGTTGTTGGCAAGCATCTAAATACGCGAGGACGACTCCCTGTCTTGCAGCGTCGCTTACTGATGGAATCCACGCATTGTCAAGATGATGAATGCAGACTCAATTTTACAGCGTAGTTTAGAATTTTAAGGCAACATTTTACAGCATAATTTTATAAAGCTGATCCAGCTTTACCTTCAAGATGATAGAACCGAAGAAAGCGACTCCATCCTTGTAACACCTCTGGTGTTTTGACCTAGAACTAAAACTTGACATGTCATCATATGCATTGCAAAGCATTCATAAAGAAGAAAATTTGGAATGCATTCACTAAATAAGATTTGTTTCATAAGTGTTATTTTATGTGATGCAATGTGATTCAAAACGTTAAACAAAGATCATGACCACAAGGGTCAAATTTCATGTGATCATGTGAGACCATGTGTCATTTGACTCAAATAACCCTAATGGGCCATGTTACTGGTCAAAATTCAAATTTAAGACAAAAGGAAAACAAATCAAATTTGAATTCAACTTTAAATTATAAAGGTCCTTTTTGCCCCTTTTGGATATTTCAAAATCCATTTGGAATTTGGGGTTGTGACAAAAAGAAAAGTTGGAGCTTATTTTATAAGGATCAACTTTGGTATTCAAAGTTTTCAAAGTTTACATATAAAATTTGGAGTAATTTTGAAATGATTCAAATACTCAAATGCACCCCAAATTCAAATTTCAAAATGGAGGCAGAATTTGAAAATGTTCCTTGAAGTAAAGTTGTAGATCTTGAAAAGTTGAGCAACTTTCATTTTTGGAGATTTTCAACTTCTTTAGAATATTTGTGAGTAATTTGCAAATTAAACTCAGTGTCAATTCTGTAATTCTCATGAACAGTGTCACGATCACCGCCCCACCGCCGACGTACCTTCTCCGGCCTTCCAGGCTCGCCCTCGGCAGCCCTTGGCTTCGCGCTGGCACTGCATGCACGCTGCGTGTCGATTCCGCGCGCTCCTGGACGCGCTATAAAGCCCGGAACGCCGTCGTCGCCCTTTCTTTCCCTGCTCTGTTTCCCGACGTCGCCGCCTCAACTCCGGCGAGTTCCCCTCGCTTCCTCAGCCCAAACTAGCCTCGGAAAAGCGGTGTTACAACTCCGTCTCGTCCTTCTGAACCCATCCCAACCACTGTGGTTGTCTGGGATCGCCGAGAACCTCAGCTTGCGACTCTTCTTCCTCGCGGCCGGCGATCTCGACCGAAGCTCCGGTTCACCGCGGCCAGCATCATCTGGTGAGCCGTTGTCCTTGTTTGTAGGTTCTATAGCTTCGTCTTGATGCTGTGGTCCTTATTCCGCTCTTGCTTGGTCATTTTACCCACTGCAGTCGCCGGAACTACGTCGCCGACGAAGTCTTCTCCGCCGTGAGCACTGTCACCGTCGACCCGCGTCACCGTAGTGCCTCCGGTCTCGTTCTTTGCTTCATCACGTCTGGGGTGAGCTGCTGATCCTTTCTGAGCCTTTTGTTTGATCTCAACCGGCCTTGTTTCGCCGGCGTAACGCTGCCATGGCACCACGTCCGCCATGGACGGCGTGAGCCTGGTTCCGTGTCGTAATCCACCTCTGAAAACCCATAGATCGACGCGGCTAGTCTTTGTGAGTGTTTAGGTACCATGGTTGTCGCAGTTTATGCATTAAATCATTACCTTGTTTACTTTGAAAAGTTATCACCTATGTTACTTATTGCATTAAGTTGATTAATTCAAATGTTACCTACTTTATGCATTGCCTACCTTGTTAATTGTTTACCATCCTTGAAGATGAGGTCATTTACAAAGGCGTAGAATGCTTAGTATGCTTTATGGTAGGTTTGCACAGTAAAAGTTTCGATACAATCAAAGGTGGCATACTGGCCAAAGAAAGAAAGAAAGAAGATAGAATGAACTAGAGACTAGTCGGGTGGCTTATCTTGAATGTTGGGTAATGTTGCCGACTATGTCGCTTAAAGGCCACTCATTGTGGATCTTCTGAACGAGACACTTTGTAGTACTGGTCACATACTCCGGTAAGCCTACTTCGGCTAATCCGATACTAAGATGAATGCCCACGCACTGGGAGTGGAGAGATGGCGGGAGTAGCGTGTACCCTCGTGGCTGGAATGTGGCCGGATTTGAGGTGTGCTGTGCTCTCGGGTGGCGTGGAGACGGCTTAGTACGGGAGGATCCGGTAGCAAGGTTGATATATGCAAGATTAAGTTCTACATATGTCGTGTGATAAGGAATCCCCAGCTGGGACTTGAATCAATTCGAATTGCCGGTGCTCCGCGGATATGGAGACTCGATTCATTACAGAAGCAATGTAGGACTGGTGAATTACTAAAACTTGAGAAAAGGAATGGAATAAGAAGGATTGGAACATGGGATATGAACACTTAGTTGGAGATATTTAACTAAAGTACTTAGGGGTAAAACTTGAAACTAGGATCAAGAATAGTAAGCTTTTGGCAAAGAACTTTTGAATCTTTCTATATCTTTACCTTGACCCAACACCTGCATCCCTAAGACCTTCGCCTTTTTCGTCGGGTCAGTCTTGTTGAGTACTTTTGTACTCAGGGTTTGTTAACCCTTGTTGCAGGTGAGTCGCATGCGCAGGCTTGTTTTGGTCCCTGCTGCATGTCAGTGTATGAAGTCGATGACGATGAGGAATGATGAATGACCTTTGGACAAGGCACTAGTTTGTGTGAAATAAATAATGTTAATGTAATATTATCCCGCTACTATGGTTGTATGACACTTATGGTTATGTAAGTTTGAAACAACTGGTTTGTAATATTAAACTTAAGTCTTTCGCTTTATTATCTCTGGTATGTATATTGAAAAATGTTGTAATCTGCAATGACTGTGATTGGGATCCTGTTTGAAACGTGGATGATTCGGGTTTCCCGAGGACACCCGACAGACCTGTTAAGTCGTTGGGAACTCGTGTACGCTATCCGAGGTCTGTTGAGACATCGATGGGTGCACGTGGGCCCGATTCCTTAGGAGGTTCTGCCACAGTCCTTTTCTCTGATAGGGAATTATCGTCTAAACTATTTACTGTTGAGGAGGATGCCCTGGAACTGCACTCACATCCTTTTCTCTGATAATGCAGCGTTAGATCCCTAGTTGTCCTAAATCTATACAACTATGACAGTGGAAGGCATCCATGGGGTGATCTTAAACCTGAGTATCTTGAAAAGGTTAGTACTTGCATTGCCATGTGAATCACATGATTTGACAATTTTACTTTCTGTTCCTAAATATAGGTTTTTGAGATCTTTTGACAACTCAAGTAGATGCCTTTGATATTGCAAAATGGTTTAAAAAATGGGTCAGCTTAGCATTACTTTTCTAGAACTATTACTGTTTCTTTCAAGAATATGAAGTAGCCAGAATCAGCATCAAGTAGTGGGGTTTGTACAAGGGTTTTGTTTCTTTTGTGCACAATGGAATGTGATGTTAGCATTTTCTACCGATTTGCAGAGAGGCTTTGTTGAAGCTCATTCAGATGATGGCTTACTTGAAATATTTGGTCTGAAGGAAGGTTGGCATGCTTCATTTGTTATGGCTGAGCTTATCAAAGCAAAGCACATTGCCCAGGTACTTTATTTTTGTTGCCTTACTTTTTGCATCATGTCTCTGCAAAAGATTTGTCTGTTGGGATAATCAGAGTGATAAGCAACTGTGTTGTTGTGATTTTTTTTTATGAGACACCTTGATGTTGGGTTTTTTTGCTAGTCATAATTATTTGGTATATTAAGGTTGTAGAAATTTGTGGGGCTTAGTTTAGCTGATGTTATTGAGCAGTTTAGTCAATGTCCTGAATTGTTCCTAACGCGTCTTTTCCTATGGATGCTTTTTAATGGACTATATGATCCAAATCCATTCCTGCTATCAGGCTGCGGCTATCAAATTTGAAATGAGGGGTGGCGAGTGGGATCGAGCATATATTCAAATGGATGGAGAGCCATGGAAACAACCACTCTTACAGGAGCACTCAACCATTGTGGAAATAAACAAAGTTCCCTATCATTCTCTCATGATAAATGGGGAGCAATGAGATTTCCCTATGTCAATCAGGTAAAATTCCAGAGTCCTGTGTTTCTTTAGGGTACCATTTCCTTGTTGGCATATCATTTCCTGATATCACCTCTGGTCTCATTGCAAATTGTACCAGGGTTGCATTCATAGATCGTTAGAATTGTGTACAGTTCAGGAGAAGCGGGCACTAGATTCTTAGAACTGGGTGGACTGCCGCGAGGATGCATGTTCGTTGGCCCTTACCGTGCCATGGTCGAAGTCATGGCCGGCGCATGATATGGCACCATGCATTGTTGTATTGTATCATATGCGTTGTTGTATCCTAAGTTCTTTTTGAAGGAAACAAAAGCTTGATTTGTTTGTATTGTAACGTTGTGTGTCAATGCAAACGAATAATCTGGTGAAAACACCTTATTAACTGTCAAATTGGACAGTTTGGTGTTTGCACTGTCCTAGAGCATGTTCATTTGCGTACGCGACGTGGTTCGCTCTCAAAATTTTCTTTGCCGTGACAACTATATCATCGTAGAAGCGCTGCTTTTTCTGGTTCAGGTCTACTGTTGGTGTGGTGTAAGAGTTTGTCAGTTGCAAACATGTACAGGATGAGTCAACATGCAAGTGGCACTAGATATTTTTCTTCCTCAATTTGCTAATCAGTTAACCAGGGCCTATCGAACTGAACATGTATTGGCTTCGGATTGCAACACATACTCTCCTAATGATGCACTCTGGACAGATTGTTCCACAATACAAGTAGTGCGTTGTCAGCACTTCGCTGAGCTGATGTATGTACACTATCTAGACAAACTGACTTGGCTTGTTAGGCATGCCAGGGAGCAATTCTCCTGTAATGTACAGTTACGGGGCCGTTGATCCTGGCATGTCCACCGACGCAGACTGTGGCGCCTCCTGCATCCTCTGCTCGAACGAGGTCCCGAGCTCTGACGCCGGCGACGAACCGGCGTTGATCGTCTCCGACGGAGTGGAGGTGTTGAAACTGAGCGGGCTCATGCCAATGGCAATGGCTTCCTCCTCGGGCGCCGCCTGCACCGGCCCGTTCCCGCCACGGCCATTCCTGACGGACTCAAACTCAACCCATCTCTGCGTCTGGTTCCCATCCCTGATGGAGTCGCCGTTCCCCGTCTTGAACGTGGGGCACTTGAGGTCCTTCTGGTCGAAGTGCCGCAGCCACGCGCGCAGCAGGCGCATCGACGAGCTCCCCGAGCCTTCCTCCTCCGGCCGGACCTCGCCGCGCTCGCGGTAGACGAAGGTGGCGAGGTAGACGAGGAGCATGAGGCCGGACACGACGCCGGTGATGAGGAACAGCCCGCCGAAACTCCGGAAGCTGAGGTTGGAGAAGCCGAGGGCGGTGCCGCCGCCGCCGCCCTGGCTCGGGCACTTACCCGGCTCGCCGAACCACTTCTTCTCGATCTGCGCCATCTCCTCGCCTTCCGCCAGCGTCAGGACCGCGCGCGACACGTCCGCCGTCAGCGGGCTGCCCATCGGGAAGACGAACCCGAAGCCGTCGGTCTTGTAGACCGGGCCGAACATGGTGTAGCCGTCGCAGTACTGCGACAGGAAGAGCCTCAGGTACGGGATCTCGTCGAACACGGCGGCGACCTGCCCGCTGGACAGCGCGTCGGCGTACCCCTCCGCCGTGCTGTAGCTCCTCATCTTGGCCTTGTCGAAGCCTAGTTTCTGGAGTCGTTGCTTGATGAAGGAGCCCTCCTGGTACCCGATGAAGGCCCCGGTCCGCTGGAGCTCTCTCACGTCGGTCACCGCCGGCTGGAGCTTCTGGACCGTCAGCATCGACGTCAGGCTCGCCGTGTAGCTCGACGTCAGGATCAGGACGACGAACACCCAGATGATCACCACGAACCTCGACAGGTTGCTCTCCAGCTTCTCCTCTGCACGATCACGATGCAAGTCAATCTTTCAGCCACTGTTCTTGTTCAAGAAAGAAACTAAAGTTATTGGTGCTGAATCGGGTTCGTGCGCGCGTACTGTGCGAGAAGACGAGCGTGTAGAAGGCGAAGTAGAAGATCAGAAGAAGGCGAGGCTGGCGAGCCACAGGCTGGTGGTCAGCGGCTGCAGGAAGATCCACATGCTCGTGCTCGTCTCCGTGCGCACCGCCACCACCATCGACCACCCCGAGTCCGTGAACGGCATGCTGAAGTCCACCTTGCCCATCCTGCTCGCCGTGATTGTCACGTCACCGACGACGATGTCCGCCCTCTGCAGTCATCATTGGCACAAAGCTTCTCGATCAGCACACATACACACCCTACGTGCATCATGGTATCTACCATCTGTCCTGCTTGGTGTGTACTGACCTGTTCCGGCACCAGGGACACGAGGTTGTCGTAGGACTCGGAGCTATAATCGTATGGCACGTACTGGTAGCTCACTGGATACGGCATGTACTTGCCGATGACCGCGTCGAACACCTCGATGCAGTATCCTGTGATGTTTGCAGTTCGGTTGGTCGAGTCCCTTTGGACGCCGACGAACTCCTTGAACCCATGCTTCACCGGCACGGCGACGCGAAGCTGCCGTCCGTTCGGCGACACGACCCAGCCTCTTGGGGAGGATATGGAATCACCTGGCCAAAGGATTTTCTTCAGCCCCTTGGCGCCGTCGGCGCCCAGAGTCTGTGTGATCCCAGCCTCCGGCGTCCAGAACCCCACCGCCCTCGAGCTTTTCCCGACGATGCTGACGAACTCGTACTCCGGAGGCTGCCGCTGCCCGTCGACGAGGGCGAAGTTCCCGGCGAGTCCGCGGAAGGTCGTCTCGCGCACCGCCTTGAGGAGCGTCGCTCCGGTTGCCGACACGCCGAGCCGGTCCAGGTCGATCTGTGACCGCCGCGCTCTGCGGCGGTGTCTGGAATGCCGGGCTGGAGACACCGGCCGCCTCAGCCGCCACCGCGATCGCCCACGCCGTGTCGTACGACCAGAGCATCACGACGGTCGGATCATGCGGGTAGATGTCGGCGCTCGGGTACTCCCGCCGGAGCCTCGCCCTGAACCGTGCGGAGAAGTTTCACCGGGTCCGTCACCTGCACGAACGGCCGGAGGCTGACGACCCCCTCCATGGCGCTGACGTCGTCAGAGCTCAGCGCGTCCACGACGCTGCCGACGCCGTCGGTGGCGACCCACGCGTAGTCCTCCGTCATCATGCCGGCCTCCCTCGCCCGGCGGAAGAACCGCACGGCCAGAAACGGGTTCATGTGCACGACGAACACGCGCGTCGCCATGGCCTTGAATCCGTAGAGCATCGCGTCGATGCGGTCGTCGCTCGGCACGGCGGCGCGGTCCGTGATCCTGGCGCCGACGCCCTGCAGCTCGCCGGCGAGCGCCGGGAGGATGCCGGACCCGTAGGGCGAGTCCTCGTAGACGACGGCCGCCGCGTGCCAGCCGAACGCGGCGAGGACGGCGGCCACGGGCGCGGCCTGGAAGGAGTCGTTGGCCCCGGTGCGCACGAAGAAGGGCGTCTGCGACGGGGAGAGACCCGGGGAGGTGGCGGAGGAGGAGAGCACGGGCACGTGGGTGCGGTTGCCGAGGTAGGCCACGAACTCGGCCTCCGCCGACGTCGGCGGGCCGATGATGGCCTGCACCTGCTCGCTCTTGATCAGGTCCACCGCTGCAAGCAAACAGAAACCAAATGCTTCCCGCTCAGGAATGAATATGATGGAGCAGAAGCCCGTAAACATCTCGGCCCAAAGGATAATTTGGCCCATAGACGGCAACAAGCGTTGGAATTGGAACAGAAAAGGATTCTATGCAGCACCTGCAAGGCTGCACCTCTACACCAGATAGAATTTCTCCAAGATTTTTGGTAAAAAGAAAGTTGAATTCCTTTCATATAATATTAGTGTGAAATATTTTTCATTTCACCTGCTAAATAAATACCTAGTTTGATGCTTTGCTTGTTGTATGGCACAAGAACAAAAGCTCGTCGTGTGAAAGAAGTTCAATTCCATAGACATAATAAAGCATCGAATCCTGATTAATTCCTTGACAGAAGATGGCTTTATTCGTGAGTAGCTGGTTCTCTTGGTGAGAGGACTGTAGACAGAAAGCTACTAGGTTCTTCTACACCCATTTAATTTCGTTGACCAAATGATCAGCAGACCTCAAAAATTGCTTGGTTGCCAAGCAGTCTGGTTTGTCCCTGGTTGACTGATGACTGCCACTAGCTAGGCTTCACCACCACTCCACGTCATAATCAGTTAATCCTATATAGAAAGTAAAAACCGGTGTTCTCCTGTTCAAAATTGACCTCCAAGATAAAAAGCACCATGCATATATCTGCAGGTGATAGATGGGTTTACGACAATAATCACAGCTACTGACAGTGACCGATCGAGAGCTACTACGTTTTCAGCAGCTATCAATGGAAAACTGGCCGACTATTCCGAAGGACCAACCGACCAAAGAGAGAGAGAGAGAGAGGTCTACGCACCAATTGCGTAGCATGGAGCTGAGTCCCCATCGGCCAACCGCCGCCAACGCGCATTCGGAGAGCACGCAGGCTACTGGTCAGTCCCAGCAGATCCGATCGGCGCGCGGGCTCAGAGGCTGTGTTTAGTCGTAGGAATTTGGATTTTAGGGCTACTGTAGCACGTTTGTTTTTATTTGGTAAATAGTGTTTAAACATGGACTAATTAGGCTAAAACGTTCGTCTCGTAATTTCCCGCCAAACTGTGCAATTAGTTTTTCTTTTCGTCTACATTTAAAGCTCCATGTACGAGCCACAAACATTCGATATAACAGGTACTGTAGCGAATTTTTGGAAGTTAGAGTGAAACTAAACAAGGTCAAAATTTCCACGCGGAAACCGCAGGATTTTTCGTCTTCAGTTAACGTTGTTTGTCACTGGTGTGGTGTCTGACGACTGACACCAGTGATCGCAACCCATAATTGCAACTAACTGCCCCGTCAGGCTTATATAATAAATACATGCTTGGTTTTGGTTAGGTCACCAGCGAAAGAGACGCAAGACGTCCGCTGTAAAACTGAGCCCGTGTTTAGTTAAAAAAAGTTCTTAAAAAGTGCTACAGTATCCATTATATCGAATCTTACGATACATGCATAGATTATTAAATGTAGACGAAAAAAAACTAATTACACAGTTTTGTTAGAAATCGCGAGACAAACGTTTTAAGCCTAATTAATCTATGATTAAACATTAATTGTCAAATAAAAACAAAAGTGGTACATTAGCCAAGTTCCAACTTTTCAACCAACTAAACACGGGCTGATCCCGTGCTGTCGTAAAAAGTGGTAGGATGTGATGCTGACCTTGTCAGGCCAACTAGGAGAGGGAGCTGTACGGATAAACAAAAATATGTGTGTGTTAGATAAATAGTCCTAGTTCAGAATTTTCTATTTCTACCTGATTTGAGGTATACTACTTTTGAATGGAACCAGCGCAATTATATGCCCTCCATGGTAAATTATGATTGGTATAAGGAACTGGCATGGAGAATGAATAAGCCGTAAAAGTTTGTGGTGAAAACTGGGCAGTAAGATTAGGATCTAATCAATCTCTGTCACCTCACCTGCTTCCGTACTTGGACTGAAGTCTGGCATGTTTGAAGGTTTGCACAGCGCGGGCCTCGAGCTGGACCATGCATACATGTCGCTCGCCTAGGCACGTGCCACGGTGACGGAACACCAAGAGCTACTCTCCAAGTCTGAGGCATGGATCATCGCAGCCCAGGATCGGAGAAGGCGACATATGCATGGCGCCCGGCCTGTTGGTCTCTAGTAAATAAATAAACTTATTATTGTTATTATTATTATTATTATTATTATTATTATTATTATTATTATTATTATTATTATTTGTTATTGTTGTTGTTGTTATTATCGTGTCGACGGGCTGACAGGCAGACACGTATGGAGTATCATGCATGTGAAATCTAATACAGTAGTTACGTTTTTTTGTCCTCTTGGGAAGACGACCATGACATGCATGTAGTAGCAGTAGTAGGTAGTGCAAATGGCAGTTTAATCGATCGGTTGGTGCAGGAACACTGTTAATTTCCAATTGCTTGGTGAGGAAACATACTTCCACGTACTTGGGGTCGGTGTCGTGTGGATGGTATAGCCGTATAGCTAGACGAGAACACGACGCTCGCGGTACGTACGAGTACATTGAAAGCTAGCTGGACAGCTCAAGGAGAAGAGTTGGGTCAGGACTCAGGAGCGAGCTCCGGCGACGAGTTCAGATCCGAGCAGATAACAAGATGGTGGAGACGCGCGGCGAAGCATGACAAGTAAAGCTACTTTCATGCAACCATGGCCCATGCTTGAGATGGAGCATGCATGCAGAGCCACAGCAACTGGCCGGTGCTCGTTCATGGGCATGGCTCATGTCACACAGGACAGGACAGGACAGGACAGGAGTAATACTGGACAGGCAAGACAAGCTATGGCCATGGCCGCCATGCATGCATATCGATCTACAGACTACAGTCTAGTACTCGTCAATTTGAGCTTGCATATCTACTAGTATAAAATCTCTACCGAATTAATCGAAGCATGCACGAATGCATCTGAAATTCCGAAACGACGTCGCGTGATGAGGCGGCGGGAGGGACGATCGAGCATTGGAGCTTATATAAATTACCGGCGGAAGCGGCGCCGACGACGTCCCCGGCGGAGTCCCGGAAGCTGAGCGCGACCCTGGTCCTGGAGCCCGGGCGAGCGGCGTAGTAGTCCTCCACCGCCATCTCAATGCCGACCTTCCGCCGCTGCCCAATCAGCGACGTCAGGTCGAGGATGACGCCCACGCGCACACGCGACGGCGGCTGCTGCGCCGTGGCCACACGCAGGCTCGCCTGGCACCAGACCAGCAGCGCGGCCGCCAGAACGAGCTCGAGGCGGCGGCGGAGGGAGGGGACGGACTGAGAGGACGAGTAGTAGCGCAGCCTCCCATCTACCTACCACTGCATGGATCACCAGCAGCGGCAGCGGCTGTCTGGGTGTGGGAGGGGAGCACTGCAGTGTGCAGCGCAGGCGCGGCTCTCTGGTGCTACGGTTGCTACCTACGCACAGCTGCGTGCGCCGGCATGAGCTGCTTCTCCCAGCTAGCGCCGCAACGGGGCTTTTATGAGAATCTGGCGTGGCGCCCATCCGATGGATCGGAGACGAGCGAGCCGGCCGGCGTGATGTGATGTGGAGTGTCGCATTGGTACTGCGACGTTTCTAAAGTCATGGTTACAAAATTCTTATTATAGAATGATATCTAGCAACCTGATGAGGCGGCCTTGACATGGTCCATGGTCGTGACACAGACGCGTCACGGTGGCAGCAAGCGCGCCATGCATGGAATGGAACGGATCCAACCAAGCCCAACGGCGACGGGAAAACTCCGCGACCAATGCCGTGGCTACCTCGTGCTCCTCCTGGTCACGGTCCGCTCCCGGCCCGTGTACCGGATGCAGCATATGCATGTATAGTCAATGTAGTACTTGACCATTGACCTCTCGCTAGACTTTTACAACGACAGACTGACGATCTCAGTGGACCCAACCCAATACGCGCTTGCATTGGATTGGAGAACATTTTTGCATTCGATGTATATGTATCCCAAAAAGTTGTATGTACAACTGCTACTGAATACTGATAGCACATATTGACCATAGCAGACCTTTACGACGACGGACTGAGCACTTCTATTATTACCTAATACTCCACTGTTGCAAAATAAAATACAAGCTGTGTTTGGAATCTGTATCCCGTATAACATGGGGTTGGTTAGCTCTCAAGCGTGCAGTATTCAGCCTGTGGTAACTACTAGTACAAGTATATGCATTTTCTCTTCTGGAAGTACTCCAATCTCCAGGAGGAGCTGCGCCACCCAGCATGGACTGACAGCCAACACTTGAACTGAAAAATCTTGTCCTCAAGAAGAATAGTAGAGGAAAAGTCACAAGAGCAGAGAGAATCTTTTGCCAGCCAGGAAGGGAAACTGAAAATTTGCTCATGGTAGGTAGTTGGCTATATTAATTTAATTTCACCACAATATGATACACTATGAGGTGACAAGTGTACCTACTCGATATAACATCTAGAGTATCATGACAGATCATTAGATTTCTAAGCTGCGTTTTTCCCTAAAAAAACGAAGACTAGCACAGTAGTTGAGAAGCTAATTAAAGACAGAGTATCTAACGACAGAAATTTTCCCTTTCCAATAAAAAAAGGCAATGGGCTAATAATAATAACGTAAATCAGAGCTATATTTTATTGTAATATAGTATCTAGAATGATATCTAGCAACATGACGCTTGCATAGTTTTATTATTGTTTTATATATATACATTTGTCAAAGGTGGAAGCAGAGCTGAAATTTCACGGGGTTGTCAAACGCTAACTTGAAACAAAGAAAGCCAAAATTTTGTCACCTTGTTTCCGATTCAATTGTTGCATCTCCAGAAATTATTTGATTGGCCCACTAGGATTAGGTGTCACTCCAATCCCACTCTTTTTTTTTAATCTTCTTTTTGTTGGTAGAAGAAGAGTATAGGCTCCACTCCACGCCTCCACGTCATAGATGTTGACGTTACTGGGAAAACAATTGTGACATCACAACGTCAAAGCTCTTGCCAGTTGCCACCTATATTAGGGAAAATAACTTACGAAAGAAAGGAAGATAAAAACTTAAATGCAAAGCCAAATTATTTATCATAATATAGTTTTTGTTAGTTTTCTAATGCATGTCATACCTTTTGTTTTCAAGGGGAATGCATGTAATGAGATCTTGAAACTTCCAGACAGATTCAGAACATTCCTCCTAAACTTTGGTGATAGCATGGATTATGAAATTTAGTCACTTTCATGTACTCTATCAGATACAAAGATGAGGCTTAGTCCAGCAATTTCCATAGAATTCCCTTGTTGTACTGCTCTGACGTTGAATTTATCTTTTCAAAGCAGCCTCGTCACTAGGGCCTGAACTCGATCGGTATTTTTCACTCTTTCGTCATTTCATCCACTGGGTAAGACTGGTGAATTGTACTAATCGAATTGGTAATGACAATGGAAGCCATCGATTTTGCATAGTAATTTCTCCTGCCGTGATTTTCTACTGCATGGAGATCCTTATTGTTTTTTACGAGACTCTACGCCTCTACCGATCTTATGGTAGGCAACGTCTATACAAGGAAGAAGAGGGCTAGTGGCTGAGCTGGGGACCAGGCCAAGGGCGGGCCAAGGCACCGAGCTAGGCCAGGGCGCGGTCACCAGCCAGGTCAGTTGCTAGATCCTAAAGATTAGGAGATTTTCTGGCTTTGAGTCATTTAGTTGTTATCCCTTTGTATTAGCTGAGAGTTGTTAGGATTGGAGTATAAGTATGGAACTATTGTGTGCTTAATAAAGTTAGCCAGAGAATTGAGATTACCTCTCTCTCTCTCGCTCTTTGGCATTGCCCTGTTCGGATCACTGTTCATCGTCCGGCAATCCAGGCGCCGAGCACGGCGCCGCCGATCCGTCGCCGGGACTCCAGGCCTCAGCTTCCCCCTTCGCACCCCTACGCCCTGAGGTCCCGAGGCTGTAACAACCTGGTATCACAGACCATGTCTTCCTCGGCCCCGCCGCTCCCACCGCCGCCGCTTCCTCCGCCTCGCCGCCGCCACCACCACCACCACGCCCACCTCCGCCAAGAGACTAGTGCCCACCGCGCCACCGCCTATTCTCACCCCGCCGTCGTCGCGGCCTCTCCCCATGAGGCGCGAAATGCTTTGACAAAGAGCCATCTATGGCATGCGCCGCCACCGGCGACTTGTCGCCGCGTGACGGCGCCGAGGGTCGCCCATCGCCCTCGCCGCAGCCTGCTCCAAAGATGGTTCTGCCGGGTATGGAGGCATTCCTCCATTACCGCGCCTAGGCCGCCTGCCTCGGAATTGCCTCCATGCCACCCTACCACCGCCGCTCCAACCGGCGGCCGCCATCCGCCAACACCACCGGGCTGGCACCACCGGGCAAGCGATGTTGTCCCCGCCACCGCCATCATCCATGGGTATCCCTATTACCCACATCTCGCTTCTCCTCACCTTCACCCGTGCCGCCCCTCGTCGTCAATCATGCGGGGTGCTCCGCTTCGCTGCCGCCATGCCGTGTCCATCGCACCCATGCACCTTGCACCCACGCCGCCAAGACATACCGCCCGAGCCATCCGCTCGCCGCCCCCGCTTCCATAAACTTTCGTTCCCCACATACGACGGCAAAGACGACCCGCTTCGGTTGGTCAATAAATGTGAACAGCTTCTTCTATGGCTGGCCAGACGCCGCCGCCGCCGACCGAAGTCTGGCCGGCATCCTACCACCTCACCGCACAAATTTCAACAAAGGTACCTTGTCCTCGAGAACGATGCCGGTCGACCGTCATGGGCGGAGTTTAGGCTGCTGTGCCAGCAGCGCTTTGGGCCGCCGCTAAGCACCAACCATCTGGCGGACCTAGCGCGGCTGCCCTTCACGTCCACGGTGGACACCTACATGTAGGCGTTACAGGACCGTGCGGCGCACACGGGCCATCTGTCGCCACTCCAGAAAGCTCAGCTGTTCACCGATGGGCTGCCGGACCACATCCGCGTCGATGTTGAGCTTCATGATCCGCAGGACCTTCAGCGCGCCATGCGCCTGGCGCACGCGTACGAGCGACGTAACGCACCTGCTCTGCTCGCTTTGCCGGGGCCGCCGCCGCGCGCGTCGCGACGCTCCCCTGGTGGCCAACACACGTTGCCTGGCCCGGCGCTTTCCTAGGGCTCGGCGCTCTCTGCATCCTCTTCCTTGGCACCACAACCTCGCACCTTCAAACGCCTGTCACCGGACAAGATGGCGGAGCGCCGCAAACAAGGGCTTTGTTATAATTGTGACAAGCCCTATGCCCGCGGTCACAAGTGCGCCCGACTCTTCTATCTTGAGGCGTCCGACTACACCATCGAGGAACCGGCGGAGGACGAAGTGGTCCCAGCAGCGGCCGCGTCGTCCCAGCAGCCATTCGATCCAGAGGAGCCCCTGATTTCTCTCTCCGCGATCACGGGGATCCGTACGGAGGACACCATGCAGCTTCATGTCCAAATCGGCGAGCATGAGTTCACGGCGCTGCTGGACTCCGACTCGACCCACAATTTCATCAGCACTGCAACTGCTCGACACGCCGGACTCCAATTCCAGGACAGCCGCCATCTCAATGCCGACCTTCCGCCGCTGCCCAATCAGCGACGTCAGGTCGAGGATGACGCCCACGCGCACACGCGACGGCGGCTGCTGCGCCGTGGCCACACGCAGGCTCGCCTGGCACCAGACCAGCAGCGCGGCCGCCAGAACGAGCTCGAGGCGGCGGCGGAGGGAGGGGACGGACTGAGAGGACGAGTAGTAGCGCAGCCTCCCCATCTACCTACCACTGCATGGATCACTCAGCAGCGGCAGCGGCTGTCTGGGTGTGGGAGGGGAGCACTGCAGTGTGCAGCGCAGGCGCGGCTCTCTGGTGCTACGGTTGCTACCTACGCACAGCTGCGTGCGCCGGCATGAGCTGCTTCTCCCAGCTAGCGCCGCAACGGGGCTTTTATGAGAATCTGGCGTGGCGCCCATCCGATGGATCGGAGACGAGCGAGCCGGCCGGCGTGATGTGATGTGGAGTGTGGCATTGGTACTGCGACGTTTCTAAAGTCATGGTTACAAAATTCTTATTATAGATATGCCCCTGATGAGGCGGCCTTAACATGGTCCATGGTCGTGACACAGACGCGTCACGGTGGCAGCAAGCGCGCCATGCATGGAATGGAACGGATCCAACCAAGCCCAACGGCGACGGGAAAACTCCGCGACCAATGCCGTGGCTACCTCGTGCTCCTCCTGGTCACGGTCCGCTCCCGGCCCGTGTACCGGATGCAGCATATGCATGTATAGTCAATGTAGTACTTGACCATTGACCTCTCGCTAGATTTTTGACGATCTCAGTGGACCCAACCCAATACGCGCTTGCATTGGATTGGAGAACATTTTTGCGTTCGAAAGTGAGGTCTGTATATGTATCCCAAAAAGTTGTATGTACAACTGCTACTGAATACTGATAGCACATATTGACCATAGCAGACCTTTACGACGACGGACTAATACTCCACTGTTCCAAAATAAAATACAAGCTGTGTTTGGAATCTGTATCCCGTATAAGATGGGGTTGGTTAGCTCTCAAGCGTGCAGTATTCAGTTAGTGGTAACTACTAGTACAAGTATATGCATTTTCTCTTCTGGGAGTACTCCAATCTCCAGGAGGAGCTGCGCCACCCAGCATGGACTGACAGCCAACACTTGAACTGAAAAATCTTGTCCTCAAGAAGAATAGGAGAGGAAAAGTCACAAGAGCAGAGAGAATCTTTTGCCAGCCAGGAAGGGAAACTGAAAAATTGCTCATGGTAGGTAGTTGGCTATATTAATTTAATTTCACCACAATATGATACACTATGAGGTGACAAGTGTACCTACTCGATATAACATCTAGAGTATCATGACAGATCATTAGATTTCTAAGCTGCGTTTTTCCCTAAAAAAACGAAGACTAGCACAGTAGTTGAGAAGCTAATTAAAGACAGAGTATCTAACGACAGAAATTTTCCCTTTCCAATAAAAAAAGGCAATGGGCTAATAATAATAACGTAAAAAAAGGTATCACTCCAATCCCACTCTTTTTTTTTTTGGTAGAAGAAGAGTATAGGCTCCACTCCACGCCTCCACGTCATAGATGTTGACGTTACTGGGAAAATAATTGTGACATTACAACATCAAAGCTCTTGCCAGTTGCCACCTATATTAGGGAAAATAACTTACGAAAGAAAGGAAGATAATAACTTAAATGCAAAGCCAAATTATTTATCATAATATAGTTTTTGTTAGTTTTCTAATGCATGTCATACCTTTTGTTTTCAAGGGGAATGCATGTAATGAGATCTTGAAACTTCCAGACAGATTCAGAACATTCCTCCTAAACTTTGGTGATAGCATGGATTATGAAATTTAGTCACTTTCATGTACTCTATCAGATACAGAGATGAGGCTTAGTCCAGCAATTTCCATAGAATTCCCTTGTTGTACTGCTCTGACGTTGAATTTATCTTTTCAAAGCAGCCTCGTCACTAGGGCCTGAACTCGATCGGTATTTTTCACTCTTTCGTCATTTCATCCACTGGGTAAGACTGGTGAATTGTACTAATCGAATTGGTAATGACAATGGAAGCCATCGATTTTGCATAGTAATTTCCCCTGCCGTGATTTTCTACTGCATGGAGATCCTTATTGTTTTTTACGACACGCCTCTACCGCTCTAGTTGGAAATCAACATATTCATGCTGCTTTCAGCTTAATATTCTAGATCAAACCCAATTAACAAAACGATGGCCCCCTCTGCTGAAAACCACCTTTGTCACTGACGTCTGGGTTTGCTAGAGGTCACTCCTTTCGTCATCTTATATCCTGAATAAGACTGGTTAAGTGACCATATCATCCAACTGAAAACGCGTATCGGTTCTCATGACAGTGATTTTATTCGAATTGGAGTGACAAATGGTAATCAAACCAAGCACCGCGACAAGAAGATTTCAATGAAGAGAGCATGCTGTTTTAACGTAAGAGAAGGACTGAGAACAACTTGTTTGATGGGGCACTTGAAACTGAATTTTCTGTGGAGAGTCTCCTGACAACGTTGTTTATTTCGGTTGTTGGCAAGCATCTAAATACGCGAGGACGACTCCCTGTCTTGCAACGTCGCTTACTGATGGAATCCACGCATTGTCAAGATGATGAATGCAGACTCAATTTTACAGCGTAGTTTAGAATTTTAAGGCAACATTTTACAGCATAATTTTATAAAGCTGATCCAGCTTTACCTTCAAGATGAGAGAACCGAAGAAAGCGACTCCATCAGCATAAACTTTCGCACTGAAGGTCGAAGAACAGTAGCTTAACAACCGCAGGAAACGCGGAATATATACATCTGTTTGCAGTAGGGGTGTAGGACGACTACCCGAACTTGTTCTGAATGTCAGTGCCTTCGAGCTCACCTTCCAAATGCAACATCTTCTGCATGACCATGAGCAGCTCGGGCCATTCACAATATAGAACTTCCTCAATGTCGTCGCCGTCGTTGTACCGATGCAAGTGGCTTCTTACATTTCTGTTGAGACGCAGTAAATCATGTGGAGTCATTCTGTACTCGTTTTGAACATTGACAACCCACTGGTTGATTTTTGTATTTGCCTTGGCAGTATCCAACCAGTCTTCCTTATAGGGGAGACTAGAGAGTATCCTTCTCTTCTTCTTTTTGTCTGTACACCCAAGATAATCGACAATTCTATCGTGTAGCATCAGGAAGACCTCAGTGCTGCGAAGTGTGAACACAAGTAAGAAAATGAGACTGCTGTAAAAAAAAAGGTAAAATAAGTAAAGACATTACCGGTTTTTTATGGGCAACAGTGCAGCATTGTTTACAATCAAGAATTCATCTTTCATTGTGAGGGTGTCCGATTCCAAGAGCAGGAGGAATTCTGCGTAGTCCGGAGGCAATTTGGTGCTATCCCCATCCGAGATAGTAATTAACGCTGTCAGGATCCCGGACAAGCGTTTGTAGTCATCTCTCACATGCTCAATGCTGAAACCTTTACCAGTGAAACTGACCCCCCTTAGCTTGACACTGCCATTGCTCCCAATCCAGATGTTGGACACCTGCAGAGGAGCAGCGAGATACTTGCCAACTGAGTGGTGGCTCCTCAGTATCAATGCAAGTTTTCTGCTGATCCTAGTCGCTTTGTCAGATAATCGATAGAATTCCTTCGTTGTTCCTAGCACTGGGACCTGGATCAGCATCATGTTGGCCATGGCGTAGCTCATCGCGTCATACAGCCTCTCGGCGGATGACTCGTCGATGTCCTTGGTGCTATGAACACAGAGCGCAAAATGAGTGAAGACAATAAAATTGAATCGACGGAGCAGGGAGAAGTTTCTCGCAATTATCTGAACAAGTAACAACGAGCAGCATCTTACTTTTAATTGACAGGCAGAGCTCCTGTCATTTTTTCAAAAAAAAAAAATTGCAGCATCTTACTTGCATTGACACCGAGAAGTCACCACTCTGCTGGCAGACACCCCATTGCTCCTCTGCTGGTGTCCAGTGTTTGGACCATCACCCTGCCGAAAAATGTACACTAAGCCAATCATTTCAAGTGAAAAATGTACTAACTGCTCAGGAGTAACACATATTGGTCCAGGAGGATCCTCATCAGTTTCCTTTTGAGAAAGACCAGTCTCTTGTCTTATTTTTTAAAGAAAATAAATCTCTTGTCATGGGAAGGTTGTCAAAGGCTGGCCGCGGAGATTCTCATATTACTACCCTAAGTCCCTAAATTAAGTCATGCACGCATAAGGCAATCTGCATGATGTATCAGCGGGTGATCTTGCACGCATGGATTCGACTTAAAAAAAAGGCGTACCCAGTGCAGAGAGCTCCCGCTTTGTGCGGGGTCTGGGGAAGGGTGTCAGTGGCAAGCCTTACCCTCGCCTGTGCAATGCGAGGAGACCGCGACTCGAACCCGGGACCTTCCGGTCACAGGCGGTAAGACTCTACGGCTTGCATCAGGCCCGCCCTTCAAAAAATCATAAACTTTAATCTTGAAAAGGTAAAATTTTGCTTAGAATTAAATATTAATCTAGATTGTGGATTTCTGAATATGCTGTCAAGGATTTAATGTTTTACTAAATTAAATTGCAACACATGGAATTAAGACCATCAGTAGCTGCAGCTGGCAGTCTAAACAAGCACATGCACAGTATGGACACAAAAAGGGGAAGGAAATGGAGAACACTGTATGTTAATGGCAGTATTTTGTTAATACCGATGTAGATTCAAACCTGCATCAAGCCAGCACCGACGGTGAGACTGAGGTCACTTGTTCAGCTAGCTGCCAGAGGTGAAGGAAGAGAAAAGGTGTCGACAGAATATCGTCGACAGTCCTCCGAGGGGTATCCCACGAAGGTAGATTGATCGGCGGAGGTGTGCGTAATCAAGAACAAGAAGACAACAGAGACACAAGAGTTAGACAGGTTCGGGCCGTCAGCGCGACGTAATACCCTACTCCTGTGGTCTGTTGGATTGTATTGACTTCGTATGATGTTTCCTGTGTTTTGAGGGGGTCCCTGCCTATCTTGTATAGTCTGGAGGGCAGGGTTACAAGTCGGTTAGATCTAGGAGATAACCAGAAAGTAATAACAGATTACATGAATCATAGGATCGAACGTATTCTATCAGATCTCGTAGTATCTTCAGGATATCTTCCCGATGTCTTTCGGGGCGCGCCGAGCAGCGCCGTGCTCCGCAAGGTTTCGTCTTGTGGGCTGGACCACCCCTGAGGGCGCAACCCATGTAGTCTGCCATGGGTATCCGGGGTCGTACCCCCACAGCTAGTCCCCGAGCGCCTTGTATCCGCTGTGCAACGCCGTCTTAAGCATGTCCGAGCAGGTGTGAACAAAGCCGAGCAGTCAGACTTATAGTCCGACCACCATACTGAGTCGCCGAGCAATGTATCCCAAGTAAGGCTTGTCATAAGGATGTAAGGAGCTCAAGTTCCAAATCGAAAATTTCCTCAGTGGACCAAGTGTGCCCACTTAGAGTCCGACCACGAGAAAGGGAGATAGTCTTCTTCAACTTCAGGAGGTGCAGAGTCTTCTAGATTAAAGCAAACACACTCACCGCAAGGTGAAGTGTGCCCACTTAGTCCCCGAGCCTGACAGTAGGTGACGCAGTCACGTGGTGCCAGAGTCCAAAGTAGAAGAAAAATAGAAGACCAGTCGAGCAGGCAACCAGACCCCGGGCGGAGTCCTGAAATGAAAAAACGCACATTCACCGCAAGGTGAAGTGTGCCCACTTGGTCTCCGAGCTTGACAGTAGGTGACGTGGTCACGTGATGCCAGGGTCAGAAATAATAGTAACAAGAAGAAAATCCCCAGTATAGTGAGGAACCAAGTCGTAGGGATGACGTAGTCCCTAAGTCACAAGTGGAAATCTCGGAGAAATCAAATCGTGGAGAAAAATCCGGAGTAATAGCTGTACAGTAGAAGTTACTGGGCCTTAATGGTATTGTAGAGAAATCGGCGAATATTTGGCGTGCAGTAATAGGTTGCGGCGAAAAATGGGCGATATGGGCTGTAGTCTGCGCATAAGCCCAGGTAATGGCCCGCCACGCCGCTTCGGGGAATTCGGAGAGGCGCAAATCGTGGTGCGGTTTCCCAAAAACCATTGAATGCGAAAAGTGGAGAGGGTGCTTTATAACTGCACCGCCTCACTCCGCGCTCCCACCTTTGCCACTTCGTCACTTCATCTTCCTCCTCAGCCCTCGCGCTTCCCGATTCACATTCACACGCGCTTCCGCCGCCAGTCCTAAACCAGATCTGGGAAATGGCGCCGAAGAGGGGAGGTGGTAACCCAAAGAAGGCGGCGTTTCTTGGCATTCTGCGAGGCGTTTCTTGGCATTCTGCCCTAGTTCAACCTCTTCCGGCACCTGTTATGGCTGAAGAAGAAGGGCGGGGGCGGTTCTAAGGTGGTCGGCGGTGTGTACCTGCAGCTCCGCGACGGAATGGCGGGCGAGTACATCATTGTGCCGCTGAACACCTCGCTGAAGGGGTGGAATGCCAGGTGGTTCTACATGAAGCAGAGCCATCCTGCCATCAGATGCGACGTCGACCAGGTTCTGGAGAACCAGAGGAGCTGGTCGGAGAAGCCGACCAGTGCTGATATGGATCAGGTGAAGGAGCTCCTCGAACTGATGAGGGGTATTAAGATGAACGGAGTGGCTATGGCGGTGATCTTCATAGTGCGCCGCATCCAGCCCTGCAAGGAGAGGGCCCATCCGGGCTTTGACTTCAAGATAGACACTGACGGCACCCGGGAGAGGTCGGAAAGACTGACGAAGAAGGCCGTGCTACACCGAGCCGCTGAGCTATTGGCTCAAAACGCGCCGTATATCGTGCCAGGGCAGCCGAGAGCCTTCAACTACACGAACCCACCTCCTCAGGTAAAAATCTCGACTGTTGGTCCTGGTGTTTTTTTATCCTGTGTCGTGCCGAGCAGTGAATTTGATTTACTTGTGGAAAGATCCATTTGCAGGAAAGGGCGGCGTACTTCTCGGGCGTGCCGAGGAGCGATTGGCCGAAAGCGGTAGACGCCAGGCCAACCACTCAGCCGGAGGAAGGTGCCGTCAGCACCTCATCCGAATCCGGAGGCGCAGGTGCTGGTCGGACGGAGAGTCCTCCCCCGGTGTCGGAGAAGGTTCGGGGGAAAAGGGCGGCGCAAGATGAGCCGGCCCGAAAGAAGAGGAAAATGGCGGGTGTAGCTCCCCGCAAGCCGGGCGGCATCTCGCTTGGCGTCGATCAGACCACTCAGATGCAGAGTGCGGCGATGTCCGAGTGGTCGGACGACGATGGGGCTCCAGTAGCTCCTCCTCCGAGCACTGAGGCGCCACCGCGCAACACGCGCGTGGAGGTGCAGTCAAAGGGATGGGAAGGAGTCCCCGAGCAGCAGGCGGAGCAGAGGCCGACAACGGGGGCCGCAAGACCTCCAGCCCAGGGCACGCGGGTTGACCCCAGAGGTGTGCCTGGGTGCTCGGGGAGGCAGCGCCGGTTCAGAACCGTCTACCGAGAAGCCGACGTGTAAGTATCCTTGCCTTGGAATTATTTGCTGTCCGATCTTTATACTTACGTTGATTGATGAACTGATCTGATGCAGAACAAGGCACGCGGAGGATCTCAATCCTTCAGGCCAGACTCGCGAGCAGCCGAGGGCTGGTCCCGGCGCGGAGGCAATGCCGGCAGACCCCGTCCCGGAGTCCCCGGGCGCTCGGCGGCCTGCGGAGGAGTCGACCGCCGCTGCTGATGGAGTTGACGGCGAAGAACGGGTGACGATGACGGCGGCCGATGTGACGGAGACGCCAGGAGCGACGGCGGGAGCCACCGAATCTTCGGAGGCGGGAGCTAGAGCTGCCGACGTCGTACCGGAGACCGGGGCGCCGAGGCCGGCAGCGTTGGAGGAGCAAACGGCGCGCCCTGAGATGTCGCAGGGCGTGGTCGAACGCTCTGTGCGGCCACCGAACCCCCAGGGAGCGCCACCCGCTGCGGAGAACGAGGACGAGGTTGAGTAGATTGAGCGTGAAGAATCACGACCTCAAGCCGTTCGGATCCTCCGCAAGCGGGGGGATGAAGTGGTGGTCATGGAAAAGGAGGACACCACCAGGGAGGTGAAGAGGCTGCGGTCCGCCGTTTCCACAGTTATGAAGCAAATTGAGGTTAGTATTGCGTCGGCAATGTCTGTCTTTGGCGTTGGAAACCAGGGCCCTTTATAATCTTAGAGCTCTGCAGGGCATAGCGTGAACTGCCGCACAACGGCGGCAGCTGATCAAGCGGATGGAGCCCCTCGCCGAGGAGAACGCGAAGCTGAAGGAGGCGGTGAAGCTGATGGAGAAGAACGTCCAGAGGGCCCAGCACGAACGAGATCTTACCGAATCAAACGCGAGGGACCTGGAATACCAAAAAGGGGCCTTATCCGAGCAGCTGACGACCGTCGCCGAGCAGCTGAAGCGAAACTTCGAGCAGCTGGAGCACAAATCCGAGCAGCTGAGAAGCGTCTCCGATCAGAAGAAAGGTACTACGGATCGGTGAGCTTGTTCTGTATTGCCGAAAAAACTAGATGTTGCTGACGATCGTCACTTTTGTAGAGCAAGATGCAAACCTCGGACAGTTGCGTCAGGTCGTCCGTCAACTCCAAGAGGAGAAGGAGAAGGCATCTGGGCGAGCGGAGAAACTGGCCGAGGAGATGAAAGGTGAGTAGTTCGTAGTCGGAGTTGTTACGGAAGTGATTTCTTTGTTTAACGGATCCTTTTGGTGTCTGCAGAGTACCGTCGAAGGGCCAAGGCGCAGTTCGACGTGCTGGAGCTGGAGGCCAGAACCCAGAGGGGGAAAATTGACGCCGTGGTTGCCGGGTCAAGCCTGTGCTCGACTGCGTCGACATGGAGGTAGCTCAGCCCAACGACAGGCCGCCATGTCCAGACACCATCATCGACAGATGCAAGGCGGCGTGGGAGAACTTCAAGAGCTTCAACCGAGACGCCACTGTCTCCGCCGTGACACGCCCTAGCGGTGGT